TGACTTTAGGGAGTATTTTTTGACATCTGATGAGACTTGGCTTTCGTATGAAAATATTCAACTCTATGGACAGTGGCTGAGTTCGAAGCAGACCTCTCATTCTATCCCGAAGCCTCCGAAAAAGTTATGCTTTGTGTGTGGTGGAATGCTAAGGGATTGGCTCATTTGGAAATATTAGATAAAGGAGACACTGTTGACGGAAGACTTTATGCAGAACAGCTGGGTCGAGTCGATCGAGCACTGAGGAAAAAGCGGATCGATCCATCAAAGGTCAGATTTCTTCCACACAATGCTAGGCCGTACATTTCAAAGGTCGCCCACGAACAGATCGATGAGTTTGGATAGAAACTTCTTTCTCACCCACCATACAGCCCTGATCTAGCCCCATCGGATTACCATCTCTTTCGGTCAATGAAACAAGCAGTTTCTGGAAAGCAGTTCAAGCAAAAGCAGGACATCGAAAATTGGGTTGCCAACTATTTTGCCTCTAAAAATCTTCAATTTTATGAGGACGGTATTCGTGATTTGGGGGAACGTTGGAAAGAAGTTATTAATGCTTGTGGTGAATACATTTGATTTTGAAAGTGTTTAAATAAATTTTTCTGTTATGTTAAAAATGATCAAAAAAATAACCTTTCATATTTGCCAAGCTAATAAAAAGCATTTTTCTTAAAAATGATGTATCGTTCAAATTGATCATTTTCTACATATTTCGTAACATTTGAATGAAGATCCAGAGAGCTAATCGTCCACTCATTAAATTGAACTCACGGCTTAAAAAAAGTTTTACTTTTATCCTTAGATTTATTTAATTAAAATGCAATGAAACTAAATTGGACTGTCATTTGTTAAACTTACTGGATATTCCAAGGCAACAACATCTTTCGGGAGATTTGCCTTGTAAAGAAAAATTCATACCAGGGGAGCAAACGCGTAAAGTGAAATAAAGAGGGTATTGATACGCTTTTTACTAATCGTGTAGCTTCTAAAAAACCTGATAAATTAATGTTCAATACACCATATTTCTTCTACCAAAAGACCCGGGTTTTACACTTTTTAATTCCCCAAAATTTTTCAGGCCCAAAAATAGAGAAGGGTTCTTAAGAGATTTGATTTTTTCTAAAACCACTTTAGATCTAAAACAGACAAGAAAGACTTTTGACCTTTCAAACTTTTGTTTGATAAGAAGGCATTCTCGGTTCTTTTCATAAACAGAGAATGGATTTAAAATGAAAGTTAAAAATAACCGGACGACCTTAAAATTCAGTTACATATCTAAATTTTTGCTTCTATTATTTTCACTGGTAAATCGTTTTTTAGAAAAAATTTAAAGTTAAAGATTAAAGGGGGGGGGGGGGGGTATTAATCGCGGCCGGGTGACCATAAAAATTTTTTTACGGCAACCACCTGTTTTTTTATTTTACTATCGCTAATTTTATTATAAAAAGAATAAAAATCACCCGGCTAGAGTGATTTGATGGGTTTACAAATTTTTGGAGACGCTGCAAGGCTCGCGTAGTTCATCTACAAGGTAAGTGCGAAAGTAAAGCAAAAGTCAGGCATTATGTTTTCTTTTTGTTTTCTTTAGACTTTCGATCTACACTTTTGGTTTTTTACATCTCTAGATGCCTTTTTCCAGATGGAGATTTTAGTAAAACCGTAGTCAAACCGTTAGTTTACATTCGATCAGCCAGATTTTGGTATCATTGACTGAGCCTTTTAATTCCTCATCGAATGATACAAAAATTGGGCTAACTGAGTGAAAATTGAAGGTTTGACTACGGTAGTTTTCTCAAATAGGTGCCTTTTAGAAAACGCATTACTCGAGAGGAACACACTCTAATAGATAGCTTAGGGTGTTTTGATGGCCTTTTGCATTATCTAAACATAAAATCTCCATCTGGAAAAAGGCATCTAGAGATGTAAAAAACCAAAAGTGTAGATCGAAAGTCTAAAGAAAACAAAAAGAAAACATAATGCCTGACTTTTGCTTTACTTTCGCACTGACCTTGTAGATGAACTACGCGAGCCTTGCAGCGTCTCCAAAAATTTGTAAACCCATCAAATCACTCTAGCCGGGTGATTTTTATTCTTTTTATAATAAAATCAGCGATAGTAAAATAAAAAAAACAGGTGGTTGCCGTAAAAAAAATTTTTATGGTTACCCGGCCGCGATTAATGCCCCCCTTTAAGCTAAATATCTGATATCAAATCAATGACTTATTAGGTCATTAATTTGTCCTAGGATTGGGATTTATACATGAGTCTTTCTGATCAGTCATATTAAAGGTGACTCTCCGAGAGATATGAAAACATAGAACGTTCTATTATGTAGCAGCATTTACGGTATGTATCATTTTTAACTAACCCGACTTTCCCAGCACTCAACAAAGTATATCGAGAAATGAGAAAAACACTCGTGGTACTAGCGAGCAAATACCAATTAAACACCCAGATAGGCTAAATTTTCTAAGCTTTTAGTGTTTATTTCTTTTACAGTAAAACCTCGTTAGTAGAACACCTTTTAGTAAATAGGTTTACTAGTTTATTTCATAAAAATACATTCAATTTATCCTCGATAGTAAATAGATTTTCCGATCTCCCTTGAGCTATTTACTAACGAGGTTTGACTCTACATACTAAAAAGAAGCTAGTAGGAATTCCCAGCTCGATCGTAAACCCATGGAAATAAATAGCTAGATATGGTAGAAGAATGCCGACCTCCCAAAAAGCGATTTCGATTCCTTGCATGAGGACGGCTGTCTAGAAATGAACCGCATTCAGAATTATTCGTTTGGGTCTTGATTTTTCTTGGATTTGCTGAGGAGGGCTGTCTAGAAATGGGCTCCATTCAAAAATTTTAAAGCTGAATTGGCTCCGTTTTAGATAGGACTTAATTTGTTAAAAGAATTTATTTTTAATTAAATGCTAAAAACTTTTCTGCTTTTTGCTTAAGGCTGGGTTTTAAACTAACTTTTCCGAGAATAAGATAAAAGAGGTGAGATTTTGGATAATTCTTCTTCTGTTTACGAATCAAAGTATGTAGGACAAGAATGTAGAGAATGATAGAAACCCCGGCCAATGCATAATACCAAATCTCTTCGGCCAACGATCGATTGGGTAACATTCTGTAAAGGGCTTTTGAATAAAATAACTTCTATTCTCAAAATCTCGACCCCATTTGTAAGCAGGTGTTTCAACTCGTTTGACTCGATTTCAGCAAATTTTTTTAATGACTACAAATTTTTACGGAATTTAATGATGCAAACAAACTTAATCATGCAACAAATCAAAAATAGAAACAAGAAATGGAAGCCATTATTCAAAAAGCTTTTCGAGCAATGGACAATGTTGGTGAACTTGGCAATGAAGTTGAGCTTTGCGTCCCCCGTCAATCGATAGTACCAAATCTCTTTGGCTAACGATCGATTGCGTAGCATTTTGCGGCGAGCTTTTTTGAAAATAGGGTTAAACGAATCCGATTTTTTCAAATTTTCTCTCATTTTCAAATAGCTGTCTCAATTTACCGTATTCACTCTATTAGTACGGTGCCTCTAATAATACTGCGGGCTGGGGATAGATTGAAAAAATAGTACTGCACCTCTAATAGTGCTGCACGCAAATTTGCATTTATGCAAAGTTTATTACCATTTGTGGGTATTTAGTAGCCCGCTTCTTTACTAATTCAATAAATGTGTTCCAGCTTGCTGGCTAAACATCTTTCACTTTCCGACATCAATATTTCAAAGCTATTTTTCTCATGATTCCTTTTCAATGTTGATTCTTTCTAGGTTTTGTTGAGAGATTAAAAAATTTGCCTTTAAGAAACTCTTTTAAATCTTATGGCAATAAATTTCCTTATTATCAAACCTCAAACTGAGAAAGACGTACATCACGTACAATTTTAGTATTCTATAATTTTTAAACCATCTCGTTGACCATTACCTAAATAAAAATTTTTTTTCAGGCATGGTCTTCGATGGGAAATCGCTTGACGGGCTTGAGGAGTTTCTAGCTTGCCGAGAGAAATGATGAACGCGAGGAACTCTTCAAGGAGGCGAACTCGATCAACGATGATGCTGAGGAGCTTTCGAACAAACCGGATGCACCGATTGCAAAGAAGATGCGGTGTTTTGATGTTGAAACAAAGGTGAAAGCGATCGATTCGGCAAAAGATTCGAGATAAGGATAAAAGACAAAAGATAAATCAGCTACGATATGGAAATTTGGCATTGCTCGACAAGACAGACCGCGGCATTAGGCTGAAAGATAAAAAGGATTGGCGGCAGTGGACGGAATCTCAATGATTTGGATCTTGATAAGAAACTGGCCGGGTGGATCCGTGAAGAGCGAAGGAAACATGGATCACACGCTCGATGTTCCAAGCACAAGCACACGTGATGTGGACGGGGGGGGGGTGATGTTTTTAGAAAAGTTAATATCCCGACACTCGCCAACTCGCCGCTCGACAACAGTTTGCCAAAAAGCCCAAAAGAGTACGTCAATTCGCTGGTCGACTACATTCTCTAGATGGCAAAGATGCGCAAGGACAGCAATTATGTCTCGATCTTTGCTTGCGATAAGACGGGAATCTTTCTTGATGCTTCGAACAGTTTAACGATTGCGGGAAAAGGATCCAAAGAAGCTTCTGTTCTTTCAACAGGCCACGGCAAGATGAGAATCTCGGTGATGCTGACTGATGGTGGTTTTAAATGCAAGCCTTTTGTTTTGATAAATTGAGTTTGTCCTGATCGAAAAATTATCGCCAAGTTTCACAAAAAACTCGAGTCGGGGGGGGGGGGATCGGCCTGGATGAATAATACCTCCATTGGTGTCTATCTTCAGAAAATACTTAGGCATATTTGTTGTTTTATGTCTTCTCTTTATTATTGACTTATTTTAATAGTTAATTTTGCTTAATTTAGTCATGAGAAAGCGTAAGCGATCTAAGGATTTGGACGAGCGATGTCAGCAAGCGATTCACTTCCTTGCCGTTGTCAAGCCGTCATTGACGTGGAGTCTTCAAAAAAGACGATGCGACGATGTTTCGCCGCACGATAATTGTTTCGCTTCTCGACTGGACTCAGAGAAATCGTTTCAATGGGATATTTTATTTCTATAAAGAGTCTTCTCTAGCCAAAAACCATTTATTCAAAAAGATTCTTGAGTATTTTGCAAGTGTTTCAAAGATTACTCGTCGTCGTGGACACCAGAAGTTCGTCAAAGTCATCAGAGAGAAAATGAGGCTTTTCCAAAAAGAGAAACGAGAGCAACGCTTGACTTTTAAATATCAAGAGTTTTCTAGAAATGCTTGATTCAGAGTATCGACGTCTCCATCTGTTGTTTGTTATTTTTTTGTTATTCGATCTAACAGGGGAACCGTTTGAAGTTACACTTGAGGAGCGATCTCATTCCGAGGTTAAGGCTGGTTAAGAACACTTAAAAATCAACTTTTATATCTTAATAAAGAAGCAAAAAAGTTTTGTCACCGAGAGGGTTCGATCCAGGGGGGAGAAAAGACAAATTCGAGTTCAGCGAGTTCACACACTACCCCACTAGGCCACCGAAGCAAACCGATGGCCTGGCGTCAAGGCTTTAAGTAGGCTAGCTTGCTGTTTGGTGAAAGTGACCGAAACTTTAAAGGCTTATATCTCGAAAATGGCTTATGATAGGTAGGATTTGAAAGCAGTTTCGGGATTGCCTTAACCAGGGGGTGTTTGCACTTCGGAATCACGTCGCTCCTCAAATGTAACTTCAAAGGGTTCCTCTGTAAGCTAAGAAAGTAGCGAGCTAAAGTATCTTGTCTTGTATTTTATGCTATTTAAAATAAAATTTCAAAAATTTTAAATTTACTTTGCACAATATTTTATAAAAGTTCTATAATGCATCAATAAGACGAAGAACATCAATAAAAGTGTATAGTGCTTAAGTGAAGAGAAAGCAGATGAGTTGAAAATTTATTTTTATGTACACAATGGTAATTGATCATTTTAATGGTGTCCATGATGGTCCGAATGACCAGAATAATGGCCTGAATTGTGATCTGAATGTCCTCCGAAATAACCTTGATGATGACCATTAGATGGATAGACTGGTTGATGATGAGATCCGTTGTGACCGTAACCTGGAATGAACTTGATTGGCTAGTCAACTAGTCTTTTAGTGTACTTTATGTTATTCTATTGGGTTGGGGATTATGACTCGGCGCCGAAAATCAAAAAAATGTCTAAAACTTCTAGCAGACTTCGTCAAATAATATGCGTTTGATATCAGTAGAATGGTTAACTAATTCTCTACAAAATGACATTTAAAAGAAAATTCAAACAGCGCCTCCGCTCAAGAAAAAGCCATTTTTTCACAAAAACTACAAACTGTCATCTAGAAAAAACAATTGGTGGGATCTTCCTGCAAATTTGGCAACTTAAGTAATTGAATGTGCTCTATCTTTTTTATATAAACACCAAAGAAGGTTTATGTGAAAGAAACTGTTCAAATGATGAGTCGGGTTCTTTGCCATTTTGACTAGCTGTGTTTGGGAGTCCATAAACTCCACGAAAGAAAAGCTTTGTGGAATCTCTCAAAAGTCATTTTGTAGAGAAATAGTGGATCCTTTTGATGAAACCAAACGTATATTTAAAGAAGGCTTTATGTGTGCAAAAAGTCCCTTTAAAGTTTGGCGCCGAGTCATAGTCCCCAACCCAATATTAGTTTGATTCTAAATGATTGATTGGAATGATGAATGATGGAATGATCTGATTGCCTAGTCAACTAGTCTTTTAGTGTACTTTGATGTTATTCTATTAGTTTGATTCTAAAAGGCAAGCCAAAAAAGAATCGAAGTAGCTTCAAATTAGGTTTAAGATAGATTTTGGCCAAGTAATCAAAGATTGACTAGCAAAAAACAGAAACAGAAAACCAACCCATATTTGAATGAGTGTCATGTGCATAGCCATGACCAGTTGAATATCCGTGATTCACAGCCGATTCATGATGACCAATTCCATGCCCGGATTGATGATGTTCATAGGCTCCATGGCCGCCTTCATAATGTCCTCCGTGTCCTCCGTGTCCGTGCTTAAAAAGTTGATCTTGAAAACATAAATTTTTAGACCTTTCGCAGGTGTAGTCAATTCAAACTATTGTACTGTGCAATCATGTACAATCTGTTTAACTAATGGTTTAAACTATTATATTTAATTTAGAAATGCTTCAAATGACTTACCATCTTTTGAAATCGAAAATAGAGCTGAAATCAATAAAATTGAAAGTTGAACGTCTCCATTTTTGACTGAAAGCACCTCGCTTTTATACCCACAGCTCTGTTCAAAAGAGAAAAAAAGCCGCTACACAAATAAATACTCTCTATGACACATCACCCTTTCTTATCTTTTCATCAAAATGCGGGCGTTTCAAAACGATCAAATGACCAACGCCATATTTTTTGTCATGAAAAATACGCAATATCTGAATAAGAGTTCGACCCTAGAATGATTTTTCACAGAGCAATCTGTAGCCCTCATAAACCTTGAACCTTTTTTCATGTTAGTCAAACGATTAACCACAAAATTACACCATTGATGGACAACATTTGGGCCCTGTCGAGCATCGGTTGAACCAATAATATGCGAAAATGAGAAAAAGGATACAAAAGTTATTGCTACTATCTAACAATTGGAAATCATTTTAGTGGACTCATGGTACTATTACAATAACTTCGCAGCACGTTGAACCTTAGGTTGGCAACCATGAAATGTCCGTTTTAAGCAAACTTTATTAATAATTTATTTTCAACGTAAAACACAATCACTCCAAGATAGATTCACCATTATTGTCAATGACCTTTCTCCATCTTTGCTTTAAATCTGGGAGTCCCTTGTCGAAGAAAGCGGGCGGATGCGAGTCGAAATATTGCGTTACCCAAATTTTGGTCTCACCGAGGTTCTTAAACTTTTTGTCAGTCAATTGATGTTGCATTGAACGGAACAAATGGAAATCTGATGGAGCTAAGTTTGGACTGTATGGCGGATGTGGGAGAGACTCCCAGCCCAACCCCTCAGTTTTTTTATGGAGTGATCTTTGCCGTGTGCGGACGCGCATTGTCGATAAGGTACTTGATAACCACATCGCCGACCGAGCTCACTATCGCCAATGGGGCACCAGGTTAAAGGTTGGACTTGCTTGTGATATTAAAAGAGTTGTCAGACATTCGATACGCGCCGCGCTCCTTTTGCCATTAGCAATCCACTTTGAGCACAAATATCTTAGGCTTAGGTTGTTTAATTTAAATCTTCTTGGGGTTATTCGATGCGCCAAGTCTTTCTCTGTCGATTGGTCTCAAAACTATCTAAATTAGATAGCCCAACACCAAGATATTTGAGCTCAAAGTTGAATTGCCAATGGCAAAGGGGCGTGGTGCGTAGCAAATCTTTCATTAAATCTATTAAAAGGGCTAGAATAAAAAATAATTCTGGCCAAGGTAAGCTTGCCAAAGGCAGTCAAGGCGGCTATCTGGCTGAACTGGCTCACGATAACTACTAAGTTAGGCTAATAGAATACTTAACTGCTGACCGAATTACATAGTCTATGACCAGTTTGAAACATGGCTATAACGGATATAAATTAACTAAATTACATTTAAAATAGACTCTAGTTGAGTCTACTAGATTCAAAACTTCAAAATCTATTTGTCTAAAAAGAAGCAATACTAAGTATATCATTCAAATGAAATGTTTCCAATTGGTTTACTGCTGACTTTGAGGGTTATTTACATTGTTCTAATATTCTTTGGTATTCTTTGATAGAATTCTTTGATAGAAAAGATATTCTTTGAAAGAATTCTTAAAAACAAGTCACTCTTTTTTTGACTTACTTTAAGTTTATTGAAAACTGAGGGTTTAATTACGGTAGTCTAACTGAAATAAGTGCACAGAAGAGAGGTTTTTGAGAGAAAATAGACTAGTGGAGTCTACTAGACTCAAAACTTCAAACAAAAAAGTTTTTGAGCATTAAAAGTTTAAAAAAAAATAGAATATGTCTTGTTTGTCTTCAAAATTCACGCAATTAAACGATTTATCATGTTTATGAAAAAATGTGATAAATAAAACTAAAAACGAAACCAGATATCAACAAATATTACTGTCTTGTGGCTTTACTATGTGCGGAAAGAGTTGAAACTTGTGTCACTCTTTGATCACTTCGAGAAGGAAGGTGGAAGAGAATGGTGATAAGACTGAACACACTCGATCACTCTTATGATGAGTTCACATCTATTTACTCATTGACTACTACCAAAAACTTCTTCCTACAAAAAATGGAGTTAGTATTATACTAAAAAGCGAGATTAACATACCGTAAAAATTCTAAAAGAAGAATATGGCCTTCTAATTTTCAAACCCCTAAAATTGGCCGGTCAAAAAAGTAGATAAAGGTCCCTACATGAATGAAAAAATTAAAAATTGTTAAAAACTATTTTAAACGATACCCCTTAGCATAAAACGTACGAAAAACATGCTTAAAAGTCAAATTATTTTTTTACCCGGACCCAGATCTGCGCGAAATAAGGCAAAAAAAACGTTCTCTATCAGAATTTCACGTTAGATTATCCATTCGACGCAGAAAATTGTGCTGAATCGAATTGTGAAGAAATTATCGAAATCCGTCTGACTCGATTTTTTAAAATCGCGTTTTATCGAAAAAATCGCACTTTTACAAGCAACTCGCTCGCAGTGACTAGTTTTCGGCGGCTCGTTTTCAGCGTGGTCAAAAGATTGCGCCCTCAAAAACGATAGCTTTTGCGTGGACGTGTACAAAGATCATTTTGATACCAATTTTGATACGCTTTCGGGTCCGGATTCCATAGCGAATCTTCCAAAAAATCCATGTGGTCAAAATCAAAAAAAATCCCCACATGAAATTTAAAAAAAATTATTTTTTTATTTTTTCAAAAATCATGTTTTGAATTTTACTGCTTAAGCTAAAATACTTCTATCTGGACCTAAATCTACCATTCTACCTAAAAAGAAGTTTCAAAAAGTCCCGATTTCAGGAGGTCAGGAGGGTGGTCTTCTATTAGAGACTGGTCTTCTATTAGAGACTGGTCTTCTATTAGAGACTGGTCTTCTATTAGAGACTGGTCTTCTATTAGAGACTGGTCTTCTATTAGAGACTGGTCTTCTATTAGAGACTGGTCTTCTATTAGAGACTGGTCTTCTATTAGAGACTGGTCTTCTATTAGAGACTGGTCTTCTATTAGAGACTGGTCTTCTATTAGAGACTGGTCTTCTATTAGAGACTGGTCTTCTATTAGAGACTGGTCTTCTATTAGAAACTGATCTTCTATTAGAGACTAGGCTTCTATTAGAGACTGGTCTTCTATTGGAGAATCATCTTCTATTGGAGACTGGTCTTCTATTGGAGACTGGTCTTCTATTAGAACTTTTGCGGTAGCCTTGCAAACCTCAGCACACAATGTCCGAGAAACGGCTCGCCGCGTGTGAAAAAGAAGCGCCAATAGTCAACAAAAATCGGTTTGACGAAGATGTGAATGATGTCATCCCACATCCAAATTGATCCTGTGATAAGCATCTGAAAGTAAATGATTGTTTACTGGTTTTGTTGAGGTTTTTAAAATTTACAGAGCTCTGTTCTCTGTAAACTATTAGATCTTAAGTCCATCTCGAGTTGCGAAACATTTGAAACAAGCCAGCTTTTTAACTTACCATTATTAGCAGACGGATATCGGCTCGTCGTCTTTTATTTGATATGCCAACCTGAAAATGAGCTTTCATCAAAATTCGGTTTCCTGCTTACCGCGAACCGAATCTTAACAATCACAATCATATCCAAAACAAGTGCCAAAACAGTGAACCCGAAAACAATATAATCAATGGTGTAGCTAATATAGTTGAAGAACGGACTGATCGAGTAAAAGCCTTTCATAAACCAGTCAGCTGGTGAGAAAAACGGGCCAGCATAGCATATCGTTTCCGCATCACTTTTCACTTTAAATAGCTATTTCAGCTTTTTTTTCTACTTTCAAACACATACAGTCTCCAATTCCAAGGAAATAGTAGACATTCGGGATGATGAAACAGCCGATTGTATAAGGAATTAATAGAATCTCGGCTTGTTTATAATAAGATCCGATGAAAAATACGGCAAATATGCTATAAAAAAAAAACATTATTTCTGGCTTTTTGCTTTTGAATTATGTAATCTTGAAATCAAAATAGAACGGAAAATGCTAAATGGGCATAATAGAAGTACCGATTCAGGGAGAGACAGTGAAGAAAGAGCTGCATTGCATAAAAGATTCCCGTCGCTATGGAAGAAACGATTCGATTGATCAAAATGCCCGGGATTGTGCCCGTTTCGCTGACACAATGCCAACTGAAAACAGCTTTAACTAGTAAGCTTACAAATTAACTGAAATTAGAACTACAGTCATGGACAAAAGTCTTTACCCCTACCGAGGTCAGCTTTTAAAACGCAAAATTTTTCAACTTTTTAACAAGTTTTAAAAATTGTTTTCAAAGTATTTTGTAGCATTTTTACTCTAGTTTTTATATCCCATAACCAAAAGAAACAACGGTTTATTTTAGGCAACAAAGAACGACGTTAACAAAAAAACCCTCAAAACAGGTGGACAAAAGTCTTTACCCCTCGAACAAAAAGTGAGAAAAAACCGAGTATTTTAATATTTGGTAGGGCCTCCTTTTGATGAAATTATTGCTTGAAGCCTTCTCGGCATCGAGTCGACCAAATCCTGTAAAATTTGAGGACCGATCTTTGTCCAGACGTGTCGAATGAAGCGATTGTTTGTATAATCAAAAAGGTCTATTATTGCTCTACAAAATGGCTTTTGAGAGATTCCGAAAAGCGTTTGTTTTGTAGATTTTATGGGCTCCTAAACGAAACCAATCAAAATGACAAGGTTTCGTCGTTTGACTCGTTTCTTACACATAAACTTAACGTTATGTACAAAACAAAAAAGTTAGAGCACATTTAATTAAATCAGTAGCCAAATCTTTGTAGTGATCTCGTCGGTCATTTTCTCTAAATGACGATTTATCTTTTTTAGTTCTTTTTCAAAAATGATTTTGTAATCAGTGACCTTTCTAATGATAGTACTCGCGTGTCATTTGATAAGCACTATACGGGCTTGATGCTGATTTAATTGATAGTGAGCATAACATGGCCTCGACCTGGTTCTAGCATATCTAGCCT